ATACTTCTATTGATGCAGCCTAAAATCGCATTGGCCATTTTAGCTGCCGCATCAAACTATTGACTCATTTTCAACTTGCGGTCTAGGACTCCTAGATCCCATTCACACGTAGTCTCGTTAAGCCAGGTGCCCCTTTTCCACCCTAAGTGCAGTACCTTACATTTTTTAATGTTGAAATACTCAAGTCTCAGTAAATACAATGGCCTACTGAAATGGTGTCCCTTATAGAAAATGGCAAAATCAAAGTTTGCTTTTTGCCCAGCTTTCTAAGCTATTAAGGTCATTTTGAATTTTCATCCTGTCTTCTGGGGTATTGGCTGTCATCTGCAAATTTGATAAGCATGCCCCCTATTCTTTCATCCAAGTCATCGATAAAGATGTTGAATAGCATTGGGTCCAGGACAGAACCCTGTGGCACCTTACTGGTCACTTCTCTCCAAAATGAAGAGGAGCCATTGCTGAGCACCCTTTGGGTTCGACCGGTCAACCAATGTAACAGTTACCTTGTCTAGCCCATATTAGTTCTATAAGCGACTGCTAGTCATGCCACCATTACCAGTGGAACTTCCCAGAGTTTGTATTTCCAACCATTGTTAGCATTTGAAAAAATCCTGCATATTAGAGGTCAAGACACACATAACAAACATGGTTTGGCCCTAAGTCACTCTTTTTCTCTCTAATCTATCTCACAGAATGTTGTAAAGATAAAAGAGGAAAATCTATTTACGCCTCCCTGTATTGAGAGCTTGAAAAAATTACTTTCTGGAGGTCTACTTTCCAGAGCAGTAGCCATGTTGATTCAAGGAAGCTACAGCCCTGAGCTTGAAAAACCTGAGCAGAATGTTAATAATAGCTTCTGTTGGTGGTGCCTCATTTTACAAAGTCATCATAAGTCGAAGTTGGCTTGACAATACATATATAACATATTAATCTGTTGCAGCAAAACCAGTGAGAAACCTTGAGCATTGGAGCTATATTCAATGGGCTCAAGCCCATGAAAGCTCATGCCAAACAAACCAGTTAGTCTTTAAGATTCCACAAGACTATACATTTTGGACTACGAGACTATGCAGACTGCTAGAAATAGTGCAAATTGAGTCCACTTTAACTGCTCCGGCTCAGTGCTAGGGAATCATGGGAACTGTAGTTTTTTTCTGAGACATTGAGCCTTCTCTGTCAGAGAGCTGTGGTGCCACAATAAAATACAGTTCCCATGATTCCCTAGCACTGAGTCGGGGCAGTTAAAGTGGACTCAGTTTGCACTATTTCTGGCAGTCTGCAAAGGCCCAACATCTCTCTGAATCTCATAGACATTATGACCAGTAGTTATGCTGGTTGAAGATTACAGGAACTGTGCCTCCAAAGTTTAATTTATCTAAGCTTTGTCTGTGCTACCTAAAGCACAAATATATTATGCTGCTGCCTCCTTGTAAATTCCCTATAATTACCTTAACAATAGTTAAAGAGTAGAGTCATATCCACAGATTTTTTTTAATCCACGGATTCAACCATCGATGGTTTGAAAATTGTTTACATTGCAAAAAGCAAACTTTGATTTTGCCATTTTATATAAGGGACACCATTTCAGTAGGCCATTGTATTTACTGGGACTTGAGTATTCACAGATTTTGGTATCTGCGGTGGTCCTGAAACCATACCCAGTGGATACCAAGGGCAACAACAACAACAACAATAATAATAATAATAATACCACCCCATTGCATATAATGGGACTTGAGCATCCATGGATTTTGGTATCCATGGGTGGGGGGGTCCTAGAACCAAGCCCCAGCAGATAGCAAGAGCTCACTGTATGTCAAAATGATTGGTAATTGCAACTACAACTAGCTACATTCTTTTATAACAGAACTGGGCAATGTATTGCTCTCCTTATATTTTGAAACTGCAGCTCCCATCAGCCCTACTCAACTTAGTCAGTGGGCATCGCAGTCCCAAAATATCAGGAAGACTGAAGCTTTTCCATGTCTACCTTATAAACAGGGTTTGCTAACCATCTTCAAACTCTTTAAATTTCACTGTCTTTCAGTGGAGCTTCAGTAGAACCCTCTAACAGACTCTCAATTACTATTTTTCTATATTTATAATGAGACTTTAACCTCGGAGTGTCATTGGCTAATTGTACTAATACAATTGTACTAAGACTAATTGTAAAGGTAAAGGTAAAGGTGGATGAATAGAAACAATCAGTTCATATATGTTACTGAAGTGATCAGTTGATGTACTCTTTGCCTGTCTCCAGTTCATCCCTCTTGTTCAAACTAAAAGTGACAAAAAGCCTGCTGTCAATGGAAGTTACGTTGCCAGGATTAACCCAGAAGATGGAGGGTGTCTGCTGGAGAAATACAGCTCCAAATATAAAGACTGTGAATTTGGACTTCTAGCCAACCTATATGCCAGTGAAGGCCTTCCTGGTGAGGTAGGTGGTCAACTTTTTAAGGTCTACAGCAGCCTTTCTAAGTAAGCCCTGTGATATTTTGGACTTTGGCAAGAATGTTTCTATGTTTATTAGAGAAATTACGGTAAAGTGTGTAATGTATAATATACGTACTAAGGTAAGTGACCAATGTTGGATGACACCCTGGAATGTTGAAGGAGTCCAGCAATTGGTTGAATGCTTGAATGAGATTTTTAAAAGGCTGCTGTGTATGACAGTCAGTCAGAGATAGGACTCAGACTGCATCTACACTGCAGAAATAATGCAGGTTGACACTGCTTTAACTACCATGGCTCCATGCTATGAAATTCTGGGATTTGTAGTTCTGTGAGTTATTTAGCTTTCCCTGTCAGAGAGCTTTGGTACCACAACAAGCTACCAATCCCAGGATTCCATAGCATGGAGCTATGGTAATTAAAGTGGTGTCAGCCTGCATTATTTCTTCATTGAAGGCACAGCCTTAGACTCACTTTGAGACAGGGTTAGTTAGAGCAGTGACAGTGAAGAGTAAAGTGAGAGACAGTGAAGGAAAGGAGTTTGTATTTTGGGTCATTTAGGACAGTTACACTCAGCTTGGAACATAGCAAGAGAGCGAGTGAGTTGTGTTAGTTAGGATTTAGATTAATTAAATAAGTAACAATAACAACTGAGCCTTGAAATTCTGTAACAGTAAGCTTCTGTACAAAAGTAGTCTTTAACTATATGCTTAAACTTCAGTTAAATAAATTATTCTTGTAATATGCACATGTGTCTCTGGGAATGCTACAGTGGTAGTATTAGAGTGGTTAGGTGTCTGCGGGGACAGCGGTTGTTCAATGGCAGAGGTCTTCACAAGCCCCCTCAAATTTATCAGCCTCCAAATATACTAGCATGCTGGGTGATGAGGGGAAGAGAGGATGGAGAACTCTTCTCTATGTCCAAAGGCTGACTGCATTTCTATGCTGGGAGTTGTACAGGGGGCTTCTTTCCACAAGCATCCTTCTTAGATATTGCATTTTGGGACAATTTCCCAAATCCTCAAGCCTTCATTTTTCCTCCATCACCCAAGTCATTCCTTCCTGGAATTCCATGCAACTACGGCTGATCTTAACCATGGTTAGTGAAAAGAAGCCAACTTCATCCAATATGTTTTTAAGTTGTCTTTTTCTCACTAGCCATATTTTACATTATATTAAGTGAAATAGTTTGTTTGGATTCAGATTGTAAACGAGCTGGTTTTTATTTAAAAAGGAAATCAAAGTATCTCCTGCACTTGGCTTTTGCTGTGCAGGGGGAGACAGAATTCTTTGTGTGAGCCTGTTGGTAGGCAAGGCTTATTTTTGCAATGCTAAACTATGGTTCTGAGAGTCAACGTGGTGTAGTGGATTGCACGTTTGACTGAGACTCGAGAGACCAGGGTTCAAATCCCCACTAAGCCATGGAAATCCCTAGGTGACCTTAGGCAAGTAACAATCCCTCAGCGTCAGAGGATGGCAATGTCAACCTCCCTCTGAAGAACCTTGCCAAAAAACTCCCATGATAGGTTTGCCTTAGGATTGCCATAGGATTGCCTTAAGTTGAAAACGACTTGAAGGCACACAGCAACATACTATGATTCAGTGGTATAGCCAGTGCTGCCATTAAATTGAAATGTTTTGGGCATGCTTTATACCAATACTTTATTCCAGAGTATCATTTTCAGGCTTTGCCTCCCCCAACTTTTTTTAACTATAAAAAGGACATCTCCTCCCTTTTATATATGAAAGAATGGGGACACTTCTAAGCAGATGTTGCAGATTTTACTTTTTGGGATTGCATATGCTCTCTGAGAGATTGTGGGAGCTGTATACAGAGTCAATCCCATATTCAGTCCTTGGTATCTGTTGTTAAAGAGTTCAAGAGATAGGAAAGAGCTTTAAAGAGCCATTGTTAGACAATGTACAGACAGTACAGACAGTGCTAGATAGGTGAGTAGTCTGACCTGGAACAAGGCAGGATCCTGTGTTCCTCTTAATCTTACAAATTATTAAACATTGCAACTTTACATTCATGTGCTGAGATGCAATCATTACTTAGTAATACTTGCAGGGTACTAAGGTATGATAGATTTTGAATTGACCTCTTAGTCATTTAGGGGTGTGAATACCATATGAATCTAAAGGAAAGAAGTGGAACCACCAGCCTGTGGGCCTAATTCTCAACATGGATGATGAGGAGCTGCTGTAATGACCTCCAACAGCTGTGCTGTGTTTCTATTCCTACCTGAGATGTTGAGAACTGCACCTGCAGCAAGTGTAATCTGATTGCCTTGCTGGAAGAAAAGATGAGGCAGCTTAAGGCCTGGGTATCTACACTTCAAACTTATCAGGAGAATGGACAGAGCAGACTCTCCTGGAGGTGCAACAGACAAA